GAGAAGACAACTGGAACAGCTGACCCCAACTGTTCAAAAGGATATTCCAATACAATATGATGTCATGCTCAGCAAGTAGTGATTAAATTCCTTCTTTTGCTTTGTTTGTGCATGCAGCTTCTGCTTTAATTATTAAACTGTCTTTATCTCAACCTTAGATTTTTCACACTTTTACTGTCCTAATTCTCTCCCCATCCCACTGTGTCAGGAGTGAGTGGCTGTGTGGTGTTCAACTGCCTACCAGGGTCATAGAATTGAACACTTGCCAACTTTCTTGGGCCCCTCTTCCCTCCAGGACTTCTTCCCAAGCAACCTTTCCAATCAGTTCCCTGTAGAGGCTGAAGTCCGCTCTCCTGAAGTCCAGGGCAGCGAGCTTACTGCGCACCCTCCTCGCCTCCGTAAGGATTCCAAACTCGACCATTTCGTGGTCGCTGCAGCCAAGGCTGCCCTTGAGGCTCACATCCCCCACCAGCCCCTCCCTGTTGGTGAGAACAAGGTCCAGCATGGTCAAACTGCAACAGTGAGACTAGGGTACTCCATTACTTCTTTGCCTCACTGTTAACCTCCAAGGCCTTGATGCTTGTAGACAGGGATAAGGAGGAGAAGAATTATTAGCAGAGCATGAGGAATAATTCAAGGCTTACATGAGAGAACTCAAGTCATACATGTCCAGAACAGGAGAAGTGAAAATGTTACATCCATCTTCTAAAAGGACCAAATGGTCAACCTGAGTAACGCAGTCATCACTTTGGTTCCTCCTGGAATAAATTTTGCAGCATATGAAGAAGGTGGTGGTGTTTGGGAATAGTCAGCATGGATTTATTCCAGGTAAATCATGAACGACCAACCTTCTATGATAAAAGGCCTGTTTGTGGATAAGAGAAAAGCAGCAGAGGTCCATTGACCTCAGTTTTAGAGGACGTTTCAACATGGCCTCCCACATTATTTTTGCATGTAAGTTGGGATCTTATGATCTGCATGGTTGGACAACCCGAAGCGTAAAAATCCTGGCTGGATGATTGGGCAAAGAGGGTAGTGGTTAATGGGCTGTGCTCCAACAACAAGAGGCGTACCACAAGGGTTTGTCCTGGGACCAGTCCTGTTTAACACCTTTATCAGTAACCCAGAAGGGGTGAATGGAGTCCATTCTCATCAGGTTTGCAGATGAAATCAAACTAGGGGACCAACTCATATGCTTGAGAGTAGGATGTCCATCAAGAAGGAACTAGAGAGGCTGAAGGAACTGGCCAACAGGAACCTTGTGAAATTCAAGATGAACAAATAAGCAAGCACTACAGCTGGGAAGGAAGAGTCCCTGAGGTGATACAGGCAGGGACTTGACCAGTTTTGGAGCAGCTTTGCTGAGAAAGAGCTAGAGCTGCTCACAGATGGCAAGCTGGACACAAGCCAGCAGTGTGTCCTGACAGCAAAGAGCATTGTGGGCTGTACTAACAGAAGCACGGCCAGGAGGTCCATGGGAGTGATTACAACCTCTCCTCAGCACTTGTGAGACTGATTGCAGTGTCTAGTTCTGGACCTCCTACTCAATACAAGAGACTGGAGTGCGTATCAAGTTTGGGGCACCTGTCCTGTGCGGAGGGGCTGAGGGAGGTGTGAAAGAGATATCTTCAGAGGGGCCTAACAGCAGCCCCCAAGTACTTCTGAAGAGATGTGCTGGTTTTAGTCAGGACAGAGTGGTACTTTGTTAATGGTCATGATTAAATGATGACAGGAGGTTATGAAAACAGCAGAACCAGGCTGCTCACAGGCATGGAAAGTAAGAGATAATGGCCAGAATCTGAAATGACAGAATCCACCTGGATGTAAGTAGAAACATTTTCACCCCATTGAACAGCCAAGCAAGGGGGGCAGACTGTACAGAGACAGTTTTCAAGACCAGACTGCATAAAGCCCTGAGTAACTTCATCTGACCTCATAGCTGACTCTGCTTAGAGACCTCCTGAGAATCCTTCCAATCCGAATTGTTGTATAATCTTATGATAAAGGATGAAGAACACTGATACTCATGCATGACCTTCAGCTGCTGAAAAACCATCTCACTTGATCAAGGAGATAGACATAATTGTCTGAATAGTGATTCTTTGTATCATTTCATTAGGTAGTTTGCAGTATCATTGCCTTTGGGAATATTAATGCATACACAAAAAATGTCATTAGTGTGTATATAAAGGCTCTGTATAATAAGAAGCAGCTAATTTCCCTTTCCATTACTTTTTGCTCATTTCTCTCTATCCCTAAAATTACTGAGGTAATTTGTGTTGCTTTAACAAAGGGAAGATTAGACTCATTCTAGAAACAAGTGTCAATGAAACTTGCTGAGATAATGCACTGATTTATTATATTTGGTTGCCTAGAAAATATTAGTCTAAATGATTACTTGTACTAAACCATTCTACAGCATTAAGACTCAGGGCACAGTGAATAATAGCAGAAGCTATAGATTTAATTTCTGTTAATAATATTTTAAAAAATTAAAAATCCTGTTTTCATCTTTCTCTTAAGGCAACAAACACTAAGTCCAGAGATTCTAGTTTCATTTTTGATTTTACCATGGAGTGCTCTGTGATTTGGCATGCCTTTATAGCCCAGTAACTGGATTCCTTATTCTACTGAACAGAACTTTTAATGCAACATATAGAGCAGCTATCAGAGTAGGATGTAGTTTATAAGAATGTTATTCCAAGAACCATTTTTAAAACTTTATTCCATTCTAACAAAACATAGATTGTTTAAACACTAACATAAATATTTGGAATGCAGAATATTTAGACTAGTTTAAATTACTAATTTATATTACATAATATTTTCACCATAAATAACACGGCTATCATCAATGATTATATATTTATATTTCCATTTTCTTTTACTCACAAAATAACTTTCTATTTATCAAAGCACAACAGATTCTCCATTCATCTGTTTCCTTTCCTTACACTGACAAGCAAAACGGCTAGTTAAATGAAGTATAAAAAATAACCCTCTAAGGGAATAATTTTCCTGCAAGAGGTTAATATCCAGCATTCTGGACACAAGGTTAATTACTGTAATTTAACACATAGAGAGAACTTACAATAGGAGATACTGAAAAGATCTCTTAGGTTGTAAGAAAACTAGTATGTTTCATGACTATCATCCAACTAAATATCATGAATAACACAGTAAAATTAATCTCTGTTCACTTTGGTTATTCTGAATAAATTTTTTGACAGGCTGACTACACCACATAAATAGCACAATGTTTAAAATACTATTTTATGCAGCTAAAAAGCAAATAAAACAGGCTCAAAGTTGAAATTGGTATTGAAAAACTTTTTATGCATCTATGCTGAAAATGGAGGTTTTCACTTTAAATTCTACCATCTGGTTGTCTTTCATACACACCCACATTTTTAAAAACTCAGCTTTAAAACATAAACTCTAAAAAAACTCATGCTTGACTCTTAACTAGCCTAAGAAGTCAAGAGGTAATCAGTCAAGAACATAATTTCCATAATTTTCTTAAGATCTGCTTCTGCTCAGAAACAGACAGGCTTCAGGACACACAGCTTGAAGCTGAGCTGAGGTTTAATCCATGCATTTCATATAATACCTATAGCAACAACAATGTACGACTGAGGTGTTCTCAGAGCACATCTGCAGCTAAAGAAAGTGATAGTGGAGCTGTGCACATATCAGTTTACAATTCAGTGTTTTTAATGCCTATTAATTACACTGGAAAACCACATCCAGTTACCTCCTCCGCTCAAAAAATAACCCTGCTTCCCATCTTCAGCTATTTTGAACTTAATGTTTGTGCACATACTCATATTCCTACCCTACACTGAACGTTCTGTATTATATAAAATACTAGTCATTGTTTTCCTCCCCCTGGCCCCCATGGGAATAAATGTATGGCTCTACTAGCTTACTAGTGTAGATATTCTTAGGTTTATGAAAAATAATAAAAAGCACACTGAAATCAAGTTTGAATCCCAAGCCTTCTTTTTCCCCTCATGTAAGAATCCTGGGCTACAACATGTCATATAGCTCCACTTCTCAACCACATGAATTATTCTCAGCCACATAGAAAAGTTGCAGCAGAAGGAATGGCACTATTCCATATAAGTTTACTCTGTAACCAGGCTGTTAGTGATGCCCCCAAGGATGAAAGGACGATTTCAAAGCCACAAAGAGAGAAAAAGAAAGCCAACTCATGCCATCAGTATTCTATAATAGTAGACAGAAGCCAGATTCTCATCTGACAACATTTTAAAAATAATAGAAATTGCACATGGCAGTTGCCTCTTGAAAATGAACTTAAAGAAGACACTCAAGGCTGTACACAATTCCTGGAGAAATGTATCTCAATCCTGCGTCCCTAACCTCCATAACTCAACACTTTCCGGTACTAGCACTGGATTGTAAAAATTCCACTTTGCAAAACTTCATGCTCCATACTTAATGTACAGTGAGCTTCCTCTGCAACAAGCTACACAGAATCATAAAATCTTTTAGGTTGGGAAAGACCTTTAAGACCATAAAGTCCAACCCTTAACCTAACACTGCCAAATCCACCACTAAACCATGTCCCTAAGTGCCTCATCTTAAAATACCCTCAGGGATGGTGACAAAACCACCTCTCTGGACAGCTGCTTCCAATGCCTGACAACCCTTTCAGTGAAAAAATTTTTCCTAATATGTAGTCTAAACCTCCCTGGTGCAACTCGAGGCCGTTTCTTCTTGTATCATTTGTTACTTGGGAAAAGAAACTGACACCCACCTGGCTACAGCCTCTATTCAGGTAGTTGTAGAGAGCAATAAGGTCTCCCCTGAGCCCCCTTTTCTCCTGCCTAAACAATCCCAGCTCCTCCAGCTGCTCTTCACAGGACTTGTTCTCCAGACCCTTCACAACCTTCATTGCCCTCTTCCAATGCCTGACAACCCTTTCAGTGAAAAAATTTTTCCTAATATGTAGTCTAAACCTCCCTGGTGCAACTCGAGGCCGTTTCTTCTTGTATCATTTGTTACTTGGGAAAAGAAACTGACACCCACCTGGCTACAGCCTCTATTCAGGTAGTTGTAGAGAGCAATAAGGTCTCCCCTGAGCCCCCTTTTCTCCTGGCTAAACAATCCCAGCTCCTCCAGCTGCTCTTCACAGGACTTGTTCTCCAGACCCTTCACCACCTTCATTGCCCTTCTCTGGACATGCTCCAGCACATCAAAGTCTTTTGTGTAGTGAGGGGCCCAAATCTGAACACAGGATTCGAGGTGCGGCCTCACCAGAGCCAAGGACAGGGGGAGAATCACTTCCCTACTCCTGCTGGCCACACTGCTCCTGATGCAGGCCAGGATGCCATCGGCCTTCTGGGTCACCTGGACACACTGCTGGCTCATATTCAGCTATCAACCCACACCCCAGGT